CACCGAACACATCCGCGTTGTCGACAACAGGCGCTGCGAAGTCGACCTTTGTATCGACGAGACATTAGCTTTGTCCGGCTTCGACCAGCTTCCCGTGAAATCGTACCTAGGACGTGGGCTTTATCGAAGATACACACTTCCTGCGACGTCGTTCGAGACATGCCCTCCCAAAATCAACAATGATGCCCTGGTCATCGCAGGTGAACATACCGGTACAGTGGCATTTGTAGTATCAGGTGGCGAGGGGACATGGTTGTTACGGCCGCCTCAAGCGAAGCTGCCTCGTTGGAGGTCTAAGAAAAAGCCGCGTCCGCAGCCGGTGGAGATCACGGTGTCGTATAATGACCTGATCTATGTCTTAAAAAGACAGTAGTTAGTCGTCTGTACTTTGTCACGAGCGCAAATAATGAGTCATAATCTGCCATCTATGCATATCCTGTGTGATAATAAGTTCCAAAGTGCCTTCTAAAAGACAAAGTATGCAAAAGTGTGGTTGCCCATCATATATCCAAAATCTGTGACATTAATTGTAGTGTGCGTAAATCCTTGTGTTAAATTCATGAAATAGACATAAGATTTGCCCTTACGATATGGTTAAGCATATTTTATAATCCCATTATCATTTACAAATGCCCAATGTGTAAAGCAATCTGCCGGTTTGACAAATAGATACCCAATTTTTATAATACTAATTCACATTTTCTTTCCATTTTACATGCAGAAAAATGGCCCCATGTCTGGGGTGAATGGGAATGAACGGCGCCACCCTCTAGCCCCCTTACATCCCACCGTTTCTCCGTCCGATGCTTGGACAATCCCCAATGCCATATCGCGCCATCCATTGCACGGAAGTCGAAGAACAGGACGTACACGGTGCTTGAGAACCCTGCAGCGAGCCGTGAAGTAAGATGGCACAATGTATTGGCTGCGAAACGCGGGCCAGACTAGTCAGATACCATAGAGTTGCTCGAGATAACGCGGAGTAATAGCAGCGAGCAATGTGTCTGCGGCTATGAAGGAGCTACTTCCTGAAATTTTGACGAGACCGAGACAGTGCACCAGTGAGCGAGCGGCAAACGCTTTCTAGGACCATATCGTAGCGAGAATTGAAAGTTGCTCCGCCACAAGTCGCAGAGGAACACAGTAGAATGCGTCCAGTATCAGTTTGCGCCAGCACCGCATTCTAACAGCAATCCACCGAACAGCGAGATCTCATGCGTGGGAGGTCGGCTTCCGTGATCGCCCGAGATGCAGCGGCCCAGGCTGCCAACTTCCAAATGAGGCAGGAGGCGGATCAGTCGACCTCCATCACATCTCCGACTGCTCCGAAAGATGTCTCTTCTCTTCCGTATACCTCCACAAGTACTTTTGCTGCTGACGCCTGAAGAACTGGTTTGCTGCTGCATCGAGAGGCACGGAGACGCTTGAGATAGTCAGACGCTTGACGGAGGGTACTGCTTGACGCGCAGAACGAAGCACAGAGGTGAGCGGACGGCTTCTGTGCTGCAGGCGTATCTACATCGCGAAGCTCACCTTCCCAAACCCTCCGGCTATCCGGCTTCACGCTGAAATCTGGATTTGACCACCGTCTGGACTCCCTACCCCGCACTTCACTCGCAGAAGTCGCGTACATACGCATCCACAAGCACCCACCCGGCAACCTGACCTCGTAGCGACGCCCGCTTCCCAAGCGTCCGCACGCGCCCTTCTTCAGCCTTCAGCAGACTCCACTCTGCCGGGCCCGTGTGCCATCACTAGATCCCCAAGAGATTCCTCAGAGATTCTGGAGATCGGTGAGTGCATCAGTCCTCGAGAAGAGCGTGTCGGATGCTGGCGTCGAGCTGCTGGTGGTCCATTATCGCCTTATAAGTGTCCCCAACTGACCGGACGCCTACCAGGCCAATTGAAACGCATCGAGGAAGACACCTGTCCCACATCGAGCCGAGCGCGTCACGCGGTACCGCCCAGTGACCCGCGACCCGCAGCCCGCAGCCCGCGACCGGACGTTCACCGGTCACCAATCGGCATCGCGCAGTCAATCTATAGACCACGGACGTTGCCCTCGAGATCATCGAGCCGAGGTGCTATCACAGATCAACGGGAGATCCCACATAGTCCAGGAACACAGCGCGGTCATGAGGTGCAACGCCAATATCATGATTGTCGATCACGACGTCGTGCTCGTGCCGTATAGGTGCGTGTGTGCTTAATTGTTTTCTTGCCTGCTTGCAGCTTTGCTTCACTCGACCACCTGACATTTCATTTCTCCGTCTCCTTCGCGATCACTTATAGTACCTGATATGATTCGTCTATTGAATTCTGACCCGTCATCCGTGCAGGTCGGAACACGTTGCTGTTAGTGTCTTCATTTGGTTTACTCCCCCAATGTAGCCATGGCATCGTCGATCAAGAACCGCTGACCGCTCGCGAAGCTAGAAATATCATGAATGGATGACGAGCGCTGAGTTGCGCGAGCTCACGGCCAGCGAGTCGCTTTCGCTCGAGGAGGAGTACGAGATGCAGCGTGAGATGCTCGTGCTCCACTTCATTCTTGTGCACTGGGCGGCTGACCGTTGTTGGTACCGAATGCAGGAAAATGGCGAGAAGACGAGGATAGTGCGTTGCTTCTCTCCAAGGGGTATTCTGAGAGTCTCTTATTCGTGCTTCTGAAATCTCGCAGAGCTCACGTTCATCGTTCTCGCTGCCAGGCCAGCAGACGCATATCCTCCTCATGTTACCCAGGATCTCAGCGCTAGCAGCGCATCATCTTCCTCGTTCGTACCGGCTATTGGCTCTTCGGCCGTGCGCGCGTACGATCCCGAATTCGTGCGCTCGCTGTCGATGATCGGGGATGTCAACATGTTTCTGAAGAACTTCGAGCGCACACACGAAGGTGGACAGGAACCAATAGAGAAAGAAGAGGCTACAGAGGAAGAGGACGCAGCACCAGAGGCGGAGGTGGAGATCATGATCGCTGGTGTGTATATCGAGCTTGATGTGTTCTATCCATTGGCTGATTGTGTACTTCTGTTTTCATCTGCGATGCCCTCGACTGTCTGCTTGCTCGCTATGTTCTCCCATTTGCCGCTCGACAAATATAGAACCTGCCTATCGCAGGCACGGCCTCGCCTCCTGTACATTGCAACTTTTCCTTGGTTACACCCTATCTTCTCATGCCCTCCCCGTCGACATCTCCCCACGACACCTTGTCGTGCGTATTTCGGAGACGAACGCGCCCAGCATCCGACTCTTCGAGCGGCTAGGATGGGAGGTCGTCAAGAGGGTGGAGGTATTCGGAGAGGTGGAGATGCGCGTGAGAGAGGATGTGCTGGGTGAGAAAAGGTAAGGTGGGGCGTGTAGGCAGGGCTTGTGAAGCGCTGTTCTGAGAGAGTCGACTTATCGAGCACTAATGATTCCAGTGCGGAGAGGGGTCGGCGGGTGAGTAAGGCGTCTTGCAGTCTCACGGGCTTCCGAGGTTCCTTCTAAAGGTCACCCCATCGGTGCCAGATTTGTTCTGGGATGTTCCACGCAGATCTGTATGCCCGCACAGTTTTATTCAGCGTGTGTCTCAGAGGTCATGGGTCGCTTTCCGGTCGTCGGCAGTTGAGTAACCGACACGCGCTCGTACAGTTAAGGGCATGGACGATGACAGGAATGCTCAGTGAGCCAGCGTGCTTGTGTATGCAGGGCAGGCGCCTTACATTCGTGGTACGATCAAGGGGATATTGATACCGCCGGTAGTGCATTGGGCGTGACTTGCGGGGCAAGGAAGCCGGGCCGCCTGTATAGCGTTCAGATCAGAAGCATCCCAGCGCAACAATTTGTAGATCGCCAAGCGCTGAATGGTCGAAATGAGTGGCATGTTCCGCACCCATTGTCGCGCAAAAATGGAGAAGCCGTCCAAAATGAGCCGCATCAGAAAGGATTCCATAAGGCCGGCACTAAAGCTGCAGTAAATGACCCCGAGAAGGAGAGCATCGACTGGGACCGCGTGGAAAGGTCATGTCCGCCTAAGGTTTTGGTGTTCCCCGTTGCTCAGCGGAACCCGTCTTCCCGGTGCTTTGATCATACCTTTGTCAGCCCAAGGGGCCTCCGATACACGTCATCTTGTCCAAGACGCATGACACGTTCCGGATATAGCGTCTTCACGAGATAAATGGGCGCGAAGCCGAGCGAGTCGGGAGCAGACTGAACCTTTCACCACCAAAGAGGAGTGACTTACCCCGCAATCGCGTCGGCCTGCCGAGGCAACCAATTTGTAGGAGGAAGCGGGGGATCGATCTTGCTTCGACCGTTGACATCTTGCCTTATCAGGATAGCCTTCCGGCTGATCTGACGCGTGACCTGCCCCTGGGCAGTGTCATCGTTCATGCGTGTGGGCTCGCATCTCCCAAGGCTCCCTCAGCTTCCGCCTTTTCAATACTCTGTTGCACCTGCACTCTTCCTAGGCGCCATCGTCGCAACGGCGGCGAGGCTGAAACGGGAAGCGATGCGCCGGACAAAGCGCCCGCTGATGGCTGAAACGGTGGCTGCTGATGGCTACCCCGCATCAGTATCGGCTACTGAATAGGATTTCCAATTGCCACGCTTCGGAAGAGGCGATTAAGGGACTTCCCCAGTTTGCTCACCACCTGACCACGGCGTCTGGGGCCGGAGCAGCGCAATATTGGGGATTGGTTTTCCACTGTCCAACTGACCCTCCGGAATGGGCTGCGCTGCGGACCCCCGTGGTTATAAGCTCACAGTGTGAACAGATGAGTGACCCACCGCCCTCGTCAGCGTCCCATCCTCCTATTCTCTCCGCCGCCCACGATGCCCTCCACCTTCACATACCAGTTCAACACTCCCGTCTTCAAAGGCGACGTCGAGTTCTCCACCGGCCTCTATATCAATGGCAAGTTCGTCGACGGTGCGAAGAAATCGACCATCGAGTGAGTTTTCAGCGATCTTCAGCGGTTTTCGGAGCGTCTAACGACTGGCGGACTTCAGCGTCATCAACCCCTCGACCGGCAAGCTGATCGCCAAGGTCACCGAGGGTAGTCCCGCCGATGTTGATGACGCTGTCAAGGCTGCGCACCACGCCTTCGAGCATACATGGGGCCTAAACACGCCCGGTCGCGAGCGTGGCGTCTTGCTGAACAAGCTTGCGCAGCTCGTCGAGGACAACATTGATGCTGTCTCGGCAGTCGAGGCGCTCGATAACGGCAAGACGTTTACCTGGGCCAAGAGCGACGTCCAAGCCGTCATTTCCACGTTCCGGTATTATGGCGGCTGGGCTGACAAGAACCAGGGCAAAACTATTGAGACCTCAGATGCGCAACTCGTGTACACTCGTCATGAGCCCATCGGTGTCGTCGGCCAGATTATCCCATGGAATTTCCCCAGTGCGTTGCGGAATCATTGGAATCTAAGGCATGGCTGACAGGATAACGCCAGTCCTGATGCTTGCTTGGAAGATTGGCCCCGCGCTCGCGACTGGTAACACAATCGTGCTGAAGCCTTCCGAGTTCACACCGCTCTCCGCATTGTTCATTGCCAAACTTGTTGACCAAGCTGGCTTCCCACCGGGCGTCGTCAACATCATCAACGGATACGGCAGCACTATCGGCCAGCACATCGCGGAGCACATGGACATCGAGAAGGTGCGCGTGGAAATGGTCGTACTAGGATTGCCTGCTGATTCCATACCCTCCCTGCAGATTGCGTTCACTGGCAGCACGCTCGTTGGTCGCAAGATCATGGAGGCAGCCGCCAAGTCTAATTTGAAGAACGTGACGCTCGAGCTCGGCGGCAAGAGCCCAAACGTCATCTTCGACGACTGCGACATTGACGCCGCTGTCAGCTGGGCTGCATTCGGTATCTAGTAAGCGTCATCCGTCGGGATCATTCGCGAGCCATCGCTGACTGGAACAGCTACAACCACGGGCAGACATGCTGCGCGGGCTCCCGGATATTCGTGCACGAGAAGATTTACGACGAGTTCCTGCACAAGTTCACGGAGCGGAGTCGGCAGATCAAGGTCGGCGACCCTTTCGAGCCGGAAATGTTCCAAGGCCCGCAGGTGTCGGAGGTCCAGTACGACGTACGTGTCCTCTGATGGGTCGGGATGATCGTTTGCTAATGCTTGCTTTCAGCGTATCATGGGTTACATCCAGAGCGGCAAAGAGGAGGGTGCAACGCTGCACCACGGAGGTAACCGCATTGGAGAGGAGGGTTACTTCATCCAGCCAACGATCTTCACGGACGTGAAGCCGCATATGAAGATCGTGCAAGAAGAGATCTTCGGGCCTGTTGGCGTCATCATCAAATTCAAGGACGAGGATGACATCATCGCTCAGGCAAACGACACAGTGTACGGTCTGGCGGCTGCGGTCTTCACAAGAGATATCTCGAAGGCGATCAAAACCGCGAACCGTCTAAAAGCGGGCACCGTCTGGGTCAACTGCGCGAACTTCTTGCACCCCGCTGTGCCGTTCGGCGGCTACAAACAGAGTGGTATCGGAAGAGAATTGGGCGAGTACGCGTTGGCGAAGTGAGTATGCTCGGCTGGTTTCTTGCACTCTTGCTGATGTATAATTGGTCGCTGCCTACAGCTATACGCACGTCAAGTCTGTTCAAGTCAACCTGGACCTGAAGATGTAGAGAGTTTGTCGCAGCGAGGCCTATTAGGATGGGATGTGAGGGAGTGTATCGGTTGCTGTCCCCTCCCCGTATCTCCTTGTCATGATGGTTGTGTACGCATCGTAGTCTGTGCATTATGTATATCTTGTAGCAATACCACGTACCGTTCTTGAATGTGAGACATGAACGAGAGCGAGCCGACTCGGAATGAATAGCCAGTGAGCGACAGTCAGCACGCAGCCTTGAATCCATGATCAAGACGAGGAGCGCTGAGATGCCTTCGTCATTATATTTGTGTTCTGTAAAGAAGACGCGTACTGCGATCTTCTCGAGGTGCTTGGTATCCAGTGCAGAATAGACGTGAGAGCTTAGAATGGGGGAAGGAGCTGTCTCCTCTCAAGCACAGAATGGCCGCCTTATATTCATGTGGGCTACGACAACCGTGGGAGAGCAAGAACTCTAACGGAACTTTGAGATGACGTAGAGGCGTAGTGAAGTACGACGTGACGATCGAGCAGGAGATTACCGTAGTAGGAAACAGGTCTGCCAAAGTTAGAAGGAAGGAGGTCGTGGCCATTAATTGTTGGCGCTGATGTTGTTCTGGTGTTAGAAAGGCATGTGTACAATAAGTCAAAAACGATTTGATACGCTACTACTGAGTGCTGGGAGGTTGGATATAGAGGAGGAGATTTCGTGTGCATGTGAAGATTCAGACGCGCATTGATATAGCAAAAGTACGGACCAACCGAACATATCTTAACGGTGGTAAATGGCCACATCATGTCTGCAGTGTGGATCATTACCTCATCGTTATGGCCTCGTGGCTCCTGTGGCAATCCGAAGACGTCCGAAGGAGGTACCGTTTGCATCGATAGGATCATGTGCGCCCTGATCGTAGATCACCGACGATAAGCTTCTTTCCGGCGATTCGTCGGGAGTAGTGTTGTTAGAACTCTGCCATCATTACTACGTCTCAAACATAAGTCTCTTCGACATGGAACCCGAGAAACCTGAGAAGAAAGGTCCTCCTGTTGTTATACGATGCGGCACGCACGCAGCGGACATGCTATCGTGGCGCTATGAGATGCACGCAATTAATATCGTCATTGTCGGCGAGTAGTTGTTCTCTATCGTTGCATGAGCTATGACTGGCTCGGATGCTTCAGACGATTTAGCATGGGCATGGTGGTATGACCGACAAGGTACAATCCAGTCTAGCGGTGTCGATTTCATCAAGGACCTTCCCTATTTCCTTGTTCTCATTGCCACATCCCGTTATTTTACTCGGCGTGAGTGGGATGTTGACGCCACACTGATAAGCGATGGATTTCGGCACTGTCTGAAGAGGGCTTTGAGGGAGCATCCGAGAAACGACAGAATGGTTCACGAGATCCATCCCCGTCGCAAACCTTACGGCTTCGACGTCGCATTCAGAGATCGTGAAGATCAGACGAATGTCAGAGCAACATCCATTTTACATCCTGACAAAGTCGTTGAATCAGGATATTCCTTCTTCGATCGGGAAGCCAGGGTTTTTGCGGCCACGCAGAATAAGGCGACCCAAGCAGATGCAGTGACGAAGATACACTGGCCGGAGGTCATTCGTACGAGCGAGGCAGTCGTTTTCGAGCGGGCAGTGGAACTGGGTCGGGGAGACCCGCTCATAGAGGGACATTTGCCCACGGTACTTGCCTCGTACGACCTGGACTGCTCGAATGGAACAATTTGCGAGGACATCCAGAAAGAAGGACGAATTGATCGGAATGCTATCGGTGGCTCACGTTGCATGCGCCTACTGCTGTTGCGAAAATTGTTGCCCATCGACGAATTGCCCGCTGAGGAGTTTCTACGTATATGGGTGGAATGTTATCGATGTGAATATCATGTTACTCCAGTGGTTTATCGTCTAATTCGCTCTCGAGCAGGCCATTTCGCGCTCTGGATGAAGGGCTTTGAACACACGGACATCAGTATTGACAACCTGCTCTATAACCCCATCACTCGAAAAGGTGTTTTGAATGTTTTCGATTTGGCTACGATCCGCGTGGATGGTAAGAACCAGGCGACAGGGCAGAAACGGACTGGCACCATCCCCTTCATGGCGATGGATCTCCTCTCAAGCGAGTATTTCCGTGGAGAGGTCGTGCGCCTGTACCGCCACGATTTCGAATCGTTCCTTTGGATCCTTACAAACATTGCTTTGAGTCCAAGAGTGCTTTCCTCGGCAAGTATATGGACACATGGAAAGCCTTGGATGAGAATGATGCACGGGTTTGGGAAGGCATTGGGTATTGGTTGATGAACTGGTTGAGGGATAAACTTTATGAGATGACAAAGTTGCGTAATCTCAAGGAAAGGGTGCCGGGGAAGCTGTCACAAAATGACCTCGCCAAGATTTCTGAATGGGAGGACCAGTCCAACCAGTCGGCCATACAGGTTCTCAAAGAAGCTGAGAGTGTCGTGGCGGAGCACTTAGCGGAGGCGGATTTCTCCGTTCCCTTCCAACCACTCTCCGATGAAGAGTTCCAACGGTATCTCCCTTTCCCATCACCTCCTGCTTCATCCTCCTGAGTCCCACCATTTCCCCTCACCTTCAATAGTTATGGCAACATATTCTCATAGCGAGATCCATATTCCTGGATGGTCATTCAATGATTGATCGTGTCGAAACCAACGTTTTGTATGTAACGTTTACGCTAGCATGCAATGTAGACCAGGTTTAACGTGAGGTGTCTTGCAACTTGAGCGTCTATCCACTGTTGGCCGAGCCGGGCATCACGTGTGAATCGCGTGCACACGCCACAAGCGCGTCCGACCGAATGCATCCCTGTCACAGATTTTCGCCACAAAGTCCGCACGTGACTTTTCTCACACCACAGATCACGTGCTTCACCAATATCTCACGCCACTCAGCCACAGACGCGACGCGCAGAGATCAGGTGATAGTCCACATCACATGTTATGGTCCAGACCCGTGGATGATACGGTCGGACCTGTCTATTCCAGGATACAATAGAGGCACCCATTTGGGAACAAAGGGAACAAGGACTATTGTTAT